CCCCTCCCTCCTCAGGGCTTAGGTAGCAGTTATTTTACTGTAGGAAAGTCTACTTGGAACCCTCTTTCACCCCCTCCCCCACAAGCCTTCGAGGAGGGGGGGGGAGGGGTAGTGCGGCGAGTGAAGGATGGCTGAAACCTGCCCGAGGGAAGGGGTGTGGTGACAGAGGAAAAAGGTGAGGTGAAAAATCATCCCCCCTCCTCCCCACAGGAGACCGCCTTAAATCCACCTATGATTACTGATTCCACTATCTCAGTTAAGTCAGCCTTCTTTGATCGAATTTCGCTGCTGCCTTGACCGAATTCCTTGATTATACCTGTTAGACGAATCCCGATTACTCGGCCGAGTTCCGCTACCTCACTGGAGTCTCGGCTTCTCTATCGAGCTTCGCTGCCTCGATCAGATCTCATTTTCTTAATTGACTTTTGCCACCGAAATAACCCCCGCAAACTATCCTGTAACGCCCAAACACAACCAAAAAGATATGTGGCCTAGCCTGAAAACAAAGCTTTCGGAAAGAGCTCGTTGAGAATATGCTACGGTAAAACAGTTCCCAACATCCTAAAGCAGCACTTATCCACTGATATCTTTGTTTGGAAAATTGGCTTTGAATGGCAAATGGTATCGGAAATATTTGTAGTTCCAGAAGGGGTCACGATGCCTTTTGGGGGTATAAATATAGAGGTGCAAAGGGAAGAACTTCATTGCAGTGGAAGGATCCGCTTGAACAACTGTGTGAAGTACTGCGAGAGAAAAAACTCATTCCCTCATCGTCAGAATCTCATGATGCCAATGAGGTTATTCCCGCAGTCTGCTGGATCATTTCGAGCCATTTTTAACTAAGTACTTTGTACGACAAAAAACAGCTCCTTCTGTGTGTTACATTTAAATTTATTAATACACTAAACAGGACATATATGCATTTTATACATGCATGCCATGTGTAATTTTTATTGTATTGTTATATATTTTTGTTATATATTTTTATTGTATTGTTATATATAGAATATGTTACATATTTTTTATACATACAGGTCTTGTTATTTATGCTGTTTTTTTTAGCAAAACATGTTGTACTGACGAAGTCCTGTTGTGGTGCTCAATTAAGACAAATACAGCTTGATGGGTTTTAGTGGATTTCCTCCTGGGATTTCTTTCAAATTTGCATTTTCTCGGTGAGCGAGCATTCACCGGAAAAACGACCGGGCTTCATGCAAAAAACTAATAATCGTGCACGTTGGGGGTTCATGCGGCCCAGCAATGCAACACCTTCATCCCAGGCAACACCCTTTCTCTCTGTATGCAGGAAGAGACCAAAACACAGCCAATATGAGTCTAAATGTTAAAGTACAGCGCAGGAACCATTCCTGCTATCAGCGATCTGCAGGCTTAGCGCGAAAAAGCATGGTCGTACCGGCAAGCCTGGTGCGCTGCAGTATGGGTTTAAATATACAAGTCGTATTATATTACATTTTTAACAGAAATTGTTGTACTGATGAGATCCAGTTGTGGTGCTCAGTTAAGACGAATGTAGCTTGTGTTTATTTTAACTAAAACAGCAATTAATCCTTTATTTTTATGCTTATTTTCCAGACTTTAATATTTTCAAATAAGCAGTATTGTTGCTTTTTCCCCATCCATCGTTCCGGAATTTTCAGTCTTTCATGGATG